TCATCAGCTTAAACATGACCAAATCTTGAAGTGCATGAGAGTCAGCCACAAAAAACCTACTGTATTCCATTTCACTGATGACATACAGGCATGTTATGGGAGAGTACAAGTGCATAGATTTCTTCAAACCATTTTCAAGTAGTGAAAAAGAACAGCTACATTGAAAAGCGTGGATTTGAAATAATAAAAGCAACCAGAACATGTAGGCAAAATCTGTGTGCTACGTTAGTACAAAGAAAAGCCTGCATCCATATAAGCTAATTTATAGATACCATTCACTTATATAGCTGTAATATGGTCATAACTGAGCACAATGAGGGTCGAGTTCTGTTGCGATTGGCTTCTCTGGGAAAGCCGTAGAGGAGAATCAATTAAAGTAAAGAAAGTTCCATCCAGATGAAGCTTAATCATGATTGGAAGTGTCTCATGTGATTAAGCATATGGGTCATGAAATTAAATCATGCAATGAATTTCGAATTCAGTAATTTCAGCCATTTTATGCACGAGTAATGTCTCAGCTCATTGTTCAGTTCACCAAATAAAGTTTACACAGTTGATAGTTGGTTCATGGGGTTTAACATCCCATAGCGACTTGAACGTGCGTTTTTCGTATCAGCCGATAAGCAACATACTAAGTAACCGTGGCAGCCTATAAAGTTGACGCACTCAAGTGAATGCATAAGAATGAAAATCACGAAAAAAATGGGGAGGGGGAGGGAAGAAAGAGAAACTGACCTCAGCAAAGAATCTCAAGTCCACTCTGATCTTACTCAGATTGGTAGCCTGAAACAGATAACATGTGGTAAGTAAACACACACGGTATAACATTTCATAGCTACAATAGAGCCCAAACAAACACTGCGTCCCGAATAATAACAGCTTTGACTGAACTACTCTGAATGCAGTTACGCTGTGCACCCACTTTACACCTACTTTCCACAGTATCTGTGCAGTTGTGGCACTGCAATGGTACAACAAGGTATGAGAAGCGAGCCCCCACCTGTAAGTACTGCATTTATATACACGAGTATAGTTGTAAGATACATACCGACGAAAGGATTTGTGATGTAAGATATTAATGAGAGCAGGTATGTTCAAGATGCAAAAAAACTTGGGTAGAGTACAAGCTTGCTGCAGGCTATTCTAGCACCAACCTTGTCATCCTTCTTTAGAGGGAGTGCCTTGAGCCAGTTCTCGAGCAGCTGTGTCGAAAACTCTGCATATCGCTGGATGCAGAGATGAGCACACAATTATGGCTGTTTGTATGTCGGACATCTGAAAAAAATATAATATAGGAGAGAGTCATACAACAGCAGTAAAAAAAATTCTTTGTGTTGCATAAAAACCTACAACTGTGCTGTACAGCATTCTTCTGTAGAAAATTCAGAAGTAATGATGAATAAGCTAAACATAAAAATAGCTAAAGTTGATAGTTTCCAATGAGAAATATATGCTTCTTGAATGGTATGACCACAGAAAACTTTTGTTATCAGCCAACTATATTAACCATTACTGAATCCAAATGTGGCTTCAATCTAAAGGGAACCACAGCAAAATATTACCACTGCACAAAATCTTAATGCCAGCAACCAAACTTTTCATCATGAGAGTCACGTTACACCAGCTACAAATTGGACATTAGTGTAGCAGGCAATGACACAAGTACCGCTTAGCTTTGAACCTACCTTCAGTTTGGCCTCCACTATGGCAGCCGCCTGAAAGAAACATACGACAAGTAATGCATCGCATCTCACTGCCAAGTCAGTTGCTCAACAGCACTCTAAACATAGTTGCACCCTTTCAGGAGTATTTTTATCATGCACCCTTGAAGAAGTATATTGTTGTATAGACTCTGGCAAGTGTTTTTGCCACAACCATCTGGCTTGCTTGCATTTCATTTCTTAAAAACATTGTGCTTGCTGCTTTCCTGCCAATATCGCTAAGTCATGCTGATTGTATCTACACCAATCATGACCTAAATGTAAGGGAGCATGGTATTAAAGCAAGAAAAGTGATGCAGGAAACAGCGATTATTGGGTGTGACAGAGGTAACCTTTACAGGGCTATAAACTAATTTCAGAGTGCACAAAATGATCACCGGTGTGCCATACCACTTCACTGATGTACTTGGTCAGATTCAGGCCAGCCATGTCCTTCAAGAGAGAGTCTCTCTGAGCTTCCGAGATAGTTTTCTGCATGAAAGATACCTCGTAAGCACCAGTTTCAAGCAAGTCAGACCGACAGTGCTTACCAGTTTCTTTACAAACGCAGTGTTTTTCCGAAGATTGGAGTCTAGCCTGCTGAAGAATGCCTCCTCTGGACGATTGCCTACGATATCAAGAGACCGATTCTATCAGCCATAAAGCCTAATCTAGCGCCATATTTCATACAAAAAGCTCTTTAATGTGACCCCAAACAATCGCTACGCGAGTGCTTTCACATACTTCTTTTCAGATATCCATCACGGTCACCAGAAATGTCAAACGCGCGACTTCGAGCTAAGCAGTACAACACCAGAGCAGCTGGGCTGCCATGAAAGGATGCAATTTCACTGTATGAATGATGGACAATTCAGCTATTAATTAGGTGGTGAACAAGAAAAATTTGTCTATAGAAGGGTACAAAATTTTGGTTATCGTGGCAAGAGTGTCAAATATTGAGTATTTGCACAACCAAAACATTTATGATGTAGGTTTCGTATCTGCTTTTTATTAAAAAATTTATGGCACTTAGTGCAAACTAGTAGGGATAGGAAAAGGGAAAAAATGCAATAAGGCTAAAAATGATGTAAGAAATTGATTAAAAATTTCAGAAAACGCATCATAACCCCCATGACGACCAACAGGTACGGTCAATGTGTATGCCCTCACAACTCACAGGCATACACATAAGACGCAGAAACTAGAACTAAATTCTTCAATTAACAGTGTGATTGCCACTGTACTGATGTAGATATCACTATTTCTAATGTAAATGGCTTGCACCAACATGAATTTCATGCTTTTACTTCGTGCCACAGAACAACTAGCCATACTTTCTGCACAAACTTGCATCTACTCCGAATTTCCAGTCCTGCTCCAAGTTTTGTCATACTAAGCCAGATGAAAACAACTGGGGCTTCAGTTATAAACAGACACCCTTACCGGATGCTGCCAAGTTCTTGCTCCGGAGTTCTGATTTGAAGTTGAGTCTCTCTTGAATTTCCATCACATACGCATCAAGGATAGCCTGGAAGTAACATGTAAGGACAAGTTTTCACAAACCGCTAAAAGATTACATCAGATGCACTTCACTTACCTTTTCACTTTCTTCTACGGTGGCAGCATTGTCCTGCAATTCAAGATATGAAGGTGAAAGCACAGAGAATTGATATAGAAAGATGAACATATTTTCCTGCAGTGGTAAAACACTTTTAATGTCAGCCAGCAAGACCTTCCGTTTCACAGTGGTTTGTTCTGATGGCAGGAAACCACTAAGACAAAACATCTCAGACAGCACTGCACGATTAGATGTGATATATAGGCTGATAAAGGTCAAAACACTGTGTTTCATTGATTAGAGTTGAGTTACAGCAAGACCAATACACACGCGAACAAATATGCAACCATTTAGATGCCCAGTTCATCGAATCACAAGAAGAAAAAAGAAACTTGTTGAAAAGTGCCTGTACTGACTATTTAACCGGGTCTCACAACAAACGTTATCCTTACTTCCACTGTACTGAGTGCCACTTCTTCCGATGGCTCCTCTGGGGGCAAGACTGTCGGCCCGTTTAGACACCTTGTCAGCGGAGTTGTCATTGGCAGAGATGATGTCATTTTCTGGGAGCAGAGACAAAACATGTGCATGTTAGGCCATGTGGGCTAGCAAGACAAATGCGGCAATGCGCCTGCAAACCTACGATGCGGTCTACACTACCTCGTTTAGAATCGCCGCCGTCACCGTGCGGAACGTTATTACTGCACGGAACAGCACATTTCTGGTCACTCTTCTCAGCTTGCAGAGTCCTGGCTTGCACTCGCCGACCTCTCTCCTCCCGTTCTCTGCGCCAGCTCTTGCCTTTGACTTCCGTTTTCTTCTCCGAGTCCTGTAAACCAGCGTAAAAATAGAAAAAAAAAAGTAGGTGAGGCGTGCTCAGGTACAAATGGCGAGTTTCTTCTTTATCGTCCTCGCTGCGGTCAGCCTAGCCGAAAAAAGAAACAAAACTGCATCCTCTTTTTCTTGGAAGCAAGAAAACGTTGTTGGAAGTGCGTGTACATTAAACTCACCATTAGCGGATGTTGGTTTATCCGTTAGCAGCGCCGAACGTGCAAAACAATCAGTTAAGGCGCACAGCCACGAGGTCACACCGATCGCACTGTTTACACTGCTCCGCCAACTCAGCCACAAGATGCTAACACGATCCTACAAGATGTGGTGCTCACGCAATTGATGCGGCCGCTGTGCGCTGCTCTCGGTTTGCTGCAGAAGACCATGCCGAAGGCGAAGTAAATGTCGCGGCGTGGGATGTTGTTACCGCTTGTCGTGCAAAAACTCCTACGTGGAGGGAGAACGTCGACGCACACAATTAAACGATGCGCGCGTTCTCACTAAACCCTACGATAAGCGTGCGTTAAGGTCTACACCATGTGTCGACGGTAGATCACATTCCGAGGTGTTTTACACCGGTATTTGTGCGGACGTTTCAAGTCGCATTTGGCCACAGTTCGTGGGGGAACACTTTATCGCACTCTGAAACGATCATGCTCGCACATCAACACACAACCATGTTTTCGAAACCAAGCCACCTGGCGTGCGTTCTGAACATCTAATAATAAAAAAAACTGTGCTGTGATAAGGCTTGAGTATAATTTGTTGTAAGCTACACGTCCGTCAGGCTACTATAAACATTAATGTAACATAATGTTTGAATTTAGCGACATGCTTCAGTGTCTTTTAACTACAACCAACTTTCGCTTTCTCACAGAGGGACGCTCGTGACGATCCGCGAAAAAGGCGCGCAAAGACGGAGGTGTGTTTCGTAGTTGCTTAGGTGGCTTTGAGAACGCGGCAAACGTAAATGACAGGCTTTGTCTCTTGACTTGAGTAGACTACAAGCTATCTGCGCAATGGATGGTGAGTGAATTCAGCAGTACTCGAGTTTACGAGCGTTTTTGTGACTCTCTGACTGATCCTGTCTCCGATTCAACAGATGCCGAGTTGGACATCGACGCCCTCGATGAACTTCTAGGACAAGAGCTTATGGATGCGGGCGAAGATCAAGGTCCCTCAAAGACGATAAGCGACCAGGATACTTCCGCTCGAAAAGGCGAAGATGGACCATCCTCTACTGCGGCCATCGAAAAGCAGCTACGAGAAATGCAAGAAAAGATGGAGATGCTTCGTCGGCAGCTCGAAGCCCAGAAATCGTCTCAGCCTTCCAAACCAAAAGACGATTCTGTGAGCAAGCCCAGTGGTAGCGGAAGCAGCTCATTACCCACGCGAAAGCCACTGAAACTCGTGGAGGAAGATATATTCGGCGCGGCTAAAGATAATGGTAGGAACGGGGAAACTTCTTTGGAGAAGAGTGTCGTACATTCCGGCGACACCGACTCATCAGACGACGAGAAACGTTACCCGACCGAGGTAGGGCTGAGCAAAATGGGCAAAAGCATCAAGAGAAACCTCGAAGAACGAAAATCGTCCGGCTTTTCGTCACGGCCACCTGCTGACACGTGTAAGACAGCGGTGTTTATTTATAAAGCTGTATTGTATCACATCTCGTATTCTTGTATTTCTAGGGAAAGACAATAAGCGCAAAGCCACGCTTCTCCCAGATGGCCTTGATGGAAACGGAGTGAGAGACCCCTACTCTGGCATACGTATCATGTGAGTTCATATCTAAGCGAACACCTCCATTAACTGATGTCTAAGCCAATAGCTTATAACACCGGTGGATGTTTAGTGATGAGATGGTCTTTTGGAACTGTCGGTTTACACCGGATGGTTTAGCTACTATCTCCAACCTGTTTCTTCGAAACCGACGGTATACAACCATATCTTGCAACACTTTTATTTGCATTTTTCGATGCAGACGAGGGTCCCAGAAGTATAAGTACTGAGAGCGAGACCCGCATTAGGATTTATTCCAAAATCAAATTGTTTCAAAACCGGCAGAAAGAGTACGTGTTGCTGACAGGTAAAAATGCGTTGAAAGGTGAAATGAAATAGAGATACAATAATTGTAATGCAATACATTAAAGATATACAAACAAAAACCAAGAAAAAGAATCCTGAACGTAAGATATCATGTATTGTGTAGAACTTGTACACTTACAAATCTAATTTATTCATCGCACAGCTCAGAAAGACAAAATGCGTCAGTGTTGTCTAGTGCCTTTGCGAAAAAAATATTGCATGTAAAATGTCATGATCGCATTCAAGCTGGTCCGTCATAGTGGAACAGTGTTTATGATGCTCCACTGCTGACCAGAAGGTCGCGGGTTCAATTCCAGCCAGGGCGGGCGCATTTCAGTGAAGGCGAAATGCTAGAGGCCTGCGTACTATGCAATGCCAATGCAGTTAATGAATACCAAAACTGTCTAAATTTTTGGAGCCATCCACTATGGTGTCTCATAATCATATCGTGCTTTTGAAACGTTAAATATTAGTATTATTATACAGTTCAACCTGAGAGTGAAATGCAATTAGGCTTATTGAGAAACAAGAAAATTGAAATGTACATGTGTATTAATTATTCCAGTCTGTTTAATTATCCTAGCACCTCTACACTGAAACATTTTACATTTTGAATACTTGAACAGCGCTATAAACGGGACACCAGACTAGAAGAAATACAGGACGATTGCAGCACTTTTTAAACTGTCTTACAAGCTAGCCCCCCCTCCCAGAATCTCCAGCATTTTACATGTGCTACCTGAAGATTTAAGACTGTACAAAGCTATATAATGAGCTGAAATTTTATTGCTATAATGCCTTCTATAATGCCACGTTATGTTAAATATTTTTGCTTATGTACGCAACCCTACAGCTCTCTTTGAAAATAGGCATCACAATAGTTGAATATTATCTGACAACTCAGTCGAATTGTCTGGACTGAAGCAAGTTTAATTTGCTGAGCCATGTATGCTGAGACCACGGTTGCACTTTCAGACGACCTCTGGTGGAATCGACGGTCATGGAAGCTCGGATGACTGGAAGAAAAATGGTCAAGATGTCCATGGTGCCCAGTTTTGTTCAGCAGAAAAAGATAGAGGTCGACTGGGTTACAATGGGTGTGCTAGTCAACAAATCACCACCAAAGACATCCAAAAACTGTCAGTGTAACTCACTCTCGCATATGTGCCTTTATTGTTGCCTGCTAGTTCATTTCAGTTTAATTTGTCAACGTGCTACTGTGAATTCATAGGCAAGTTGATGAGAATGACATCTGAAAGGTATGATGCAAGGCAATGTTTAATAAACATGGCCATAATTCTTTAGTACTGAGTTAGTGGGTACAAAACTAATATGCAAGGACCACACTGAAGCGTGTGGGACACTGGGGGCATGTCGTACTCTGTTTTGTGCATAAACTTAAGACATGGGGTCAAATTTCAAACCAGTTTTCTGCAAAGACTACTATTCAGTGCTGGGAACAAATTGCCAGCTGCTCTTATACTCTTCTATGTGTCATCATGCTTAGGAGAGTCATTCTTTTGTTGAGTTGATTAAACATATTAAATCATAACAGCAACACAAACAAGACTCAAGCAAAATGAAGAGTCTGTCATCTTTCAAGTCTCCCATTTTGTGTTTGCATGCCGTTGTTAATATCTAACAGTGCTCACGCCCTTGTTTGTAAACGTGTAGCTCGTCTATCGCTTATTTGACGTGATAGAAAACTCATCATCCCAAATTTGTTCTATTTATATGTATGTTTTGATGCCACCATTCGGTTTGGGCTCCGTACTATTTCAGCATGTCTGTGATGACACTATGGCACGCTCATCTCCTTATCAGAACTTATCGCATGAGATTACACCTTGCCAAAGATCTAGAATATATACCATTATATTTTTGGATAGGTCTCATGTTGTATTGGTTTCTTAGCCTGAATGGTCTGTGACTTTGTATCCGTCATCTACATGGTCCTTAAATTTGTTTGATATCTAGCCACTGTATTAACATAAAACTAACTACTCAATAAATATAGGCAAAACTGTTTCTCTCGCCAGACCTATTCTGGAGAAAATAAATTTGCATTATCCAGTTAAGAGCAGAGGATGTAATTAGATTCAGATACACGTGTCCATATAATACTAGTAAAAGTGTTTAATATTTATATATTAAAATTTCCGGAGCCCTTCACTACGGCGTCTCTCATAATCAAAATGGTGGTTTTGGGACGTTAAACCCCACAAATCAATTTAATATTTATATTCTGGCATGTCTAGTGCAAGTTGCCTACGGGATAACACTGTTTTCTTTCACCATGCTAAATCCTTTAGTCTTGCATGCTTTGTGACAAAATTGGTTTGTTCTTGCAGGGAAAGCCATTCTCCATATGGAAGTTGACGGATCTGCAAGACTGTGAAAACCTTGTGTGCATTTTCCTCTTTGGCGATGTGCATGAGAAACACTGGAAGACATCAATTGGCTCTGTAGTTGGTTTTCTAAACCCATCAGTCATGCCAAATAAGGATAGTTTTGTAAGTAGCTGTTCCCAGTTTTTCTTATGCAACTGCACAAAACTTTTGAATGATACAAAAGAAAAAATATAACTTTTCTCCACTTCTCTACGATGGCTAAATTCAGTGCATGCGTGGACGGAGTGTATGAACTGAATTACTAAGGTCAGGATGTCTGTGGTTGTAGATTCTTTTGGATTGCTAGACATTGATTACCAACTTATCAAGATGCTGCTATGCACTTATAGTTGGCAACCTGCTTGATTGTGACCTGCACATCGTCCTTTTGCATTACAAATGCTTCAGTTTGTTCATATCCATTCCGCAGAGCAGTCGAAAAGAAGTGTGCCTCAGTATAGACCACCCTGGCAAAGTGATGCTAATGGGAACATCCAAGGATTTTGGAACATGCAAAGGCAAAACCAGAGATAATCAACCCTGCACAAATGTAGTCAACCTGTATGTATTAATTTTCACTTGGTGTAGTTAGTATATGTGGTGGGGAAGGGGATTGGGGTGTTGCTGATGAGCTTGAGTAATGTAAACAATGGTAAGCATTATAGGGAATAATGATAGGCCATGAGCCTCAGTTATAAATCTTTATAACGAATGGTCCCTTGATTCTAAACGTGAAGCAATATGACCTTGTATGGAAGCTTTCTTGGATAAACCACGTGGGCATCAGTGGCCCTCAGTTCTTTGATATACAATATCATGCACCAGATTTGCCTAGTGTTATCATGTTTCTCGAGATCATAGACACACTGTACTCTCTATGTAACATCCTTTTCTAGCATTCACTTACTACGTAAAAAACAATTGTTATACAAATGATGTTGTGTGAAGTTGCGTAGACCCTAAAATGCTTTTTATCAGTTAATAATGCCTTAATACCTTAATGACACATATCGCTTTCATGATGTGCTGGGGTATGCATCACAGTTTAGTAAATCTTGGAATGATTGCATTGGATAATAACCTGAGAAGCTCGTTAGCCAAAAAATAGGAACATATATGTTGCATTGGCTGATTATAGTTCATGCTATGCCCATCACTCCCACAGTACTTCAAATGAAGAGCACAGATTAGTAGACTAGTGTCACGGAAGTGTTTGTGTTTTGTTCCTTTCTAATAAGAAATTCCTAGTTATGTGCTGTTTCTGCATGGGTGCTAATTGCAAGCAACTTTGTATCCGAGCGTAGTTTCTGTCAATTTTCGTATGACCTCATTATGGACAAAATTTTTTTCACCAGGTCAACTTGCCCATACTGCGTGTACCACATCAAAGCTGAGTACCGTAAAATGAGTTCCAAGCGAACTGACCTCCAGGCATCGTAAGTGTTCAACTTTATCCTTGTACGCTCATATTCTTTTTTCTGTTCTCGTCTCTGTTTTCACAAGACCGCTTGATAATTCTTTCGCTGATAGAGATTAGCCCTCGTGGGCAGCACATACAAGCTCACAATATATATCGGAAATTTTCCCAATGCTGTAGTAAGAGTGTGCTTCTGGTTATTGTGAAACATAATTTTGGCCTCGGGTCAAAACGCAAAACTTTTTCAGTATTGACATAGGCGTCATGATTGTCAGCCCAACTTGTGTGCCCTGCAGGACAAAGGCTGCTCCAAGTTGTGTCCAATGCTCTTTTTGACAACTTCATCTTCTGAGTGCAAATTTCCTGACCTCACCACACTGCCAATTTCTCCTCTATCCTAAAGTGTGTTCTCTTTTTTCTTTTTTTTTTTGACATCTGCACTCTTTTACATTAAAAGACCACTTATAGACCATCTGTTTTATCTGTTACATGACTCTTCCATCTTTTTAACAACATGCATATTTCTTTGATGGTTCCTTCTGAGCCGGCTCGGAAAGTTCATAGCTCTGTTGCATAACAAGTGTGTTCAAAAAAGCTTTGTTTTCACTTATTGTAACATCTGTTCAAAACATTCGAATGCACAAATTGGTCCTACTATTAGGCGAATGTCATAGCATAACGATCATTAGGGTATCTTAGTACAGTGAAGCATACTGCAACGACGTTAGGTTATTTTGATTACATTCAATAAGGACACAGCACAGACTTTGTGCAGTTTACAAAACAAAACAGAAGCCATTTGACTTTACCTGCAAAAACTTGCGTGAGTGCTTTATTTTTTTGGCTACAAAATGTAGATCGGGGAGTTACTTGTAATTATCTCTGTTCATAGGTGTCGGTTGTGTACACTATCTCAATTTATTAAGGCTCACTGCAATGTATGCCCCTTGAGAGGCTTCGTGATCAGCTATAGTTCTCATTAATTGTAACCAATTGGTCCATCGCATATGAGACGTATTTGTTACCTTATGTCTCCAAACCGGTTGTAGCATTCTTGCGAGCCACCTATAAAAGGGACTGCTATGTCCAATCTGTTTCTTAGGTATTCTGGAGTTACACCAAGCGGACTGAAGCAGAAAGTCCTCAAGAACAGCCAGGTCATCTACGGAGGCCAAATGTTCATGAATCCCACGTAAGTTTGTCGAGGCAAATGCGGAGATTTTCACCCATATTTGTTGTTGCAGAATTCATTACTGCATGTGTGTTTCAGAGATACAACAACTGTGTTCTCAGAGCCCCATCACAAAAGTTTAAGACAGTTTAAGTGTGCTGAGTTAGCAGGAGTTACGGAAGCTGTCTACTTATGTAATTGTGGACTTGTATTTTTGTTTATCCACTTGTTTAATGAATCAACCTCTCTTGTATTCTTGTCATAGACATACATGGAGTCTTGCGATATGCATGCCATTTATTGCTGAATAATGTTAGCTTTGTTCTTGTTGCATCTCACCAAAGAAATCAGTTTTTGCCTTTGCTTGAAACTTCAGTTGGACCCCTGTATATTGGACATGAACTCAGTGCATCAGAAGTCTTCACAATTAAGCATTCTCAATAAATGTTCCACAGCAAAAGGTACTCTCTTTGAGGTCTAAGCACTCGGCGCTTGTTTACAAACAAGCTACATTTTAGTTTTTTAAAAGCCAGATCTCTTAGATGTTAAAATCAACCAGAATTGACACAAAACAGCTAGGGATCAGAAGCTTCAGTTGTCGCTATTCAAAGTTGGTTCGAAACAGGATTATGGCATATAAACATGTAAGCACAAAAAAAAATGTTTTCATGCTGTGGCTCACCACATGCACGAAATTTACTATTTCAACATTACCTAACTGATTAGCGTGAGGTGGTCTTGTAATCGATTTAGTAACTTCTAATTTATAGGAGATTTCCTTGATGCGATTACAGAAAACTTTTTTTATCTTTCATAAAATGCATCGGACAGCAATACTCAAAGTATGCCTTTGTTGCAAATGAGTTAAATTTAAGGGATTCTTTGGTGAAAATATTTTAAATTGCCTTGAACTATTTTGTTATGCAGGCCACATCACCAATTATTCTTGATTATTCTTGATTTAAGCACGCTGTCTGCCTGGTTACACTGCTTCTCACGTTTATTTCACATCTCTTGCTCTCGTGATCTCAGCTCTCATGCATGGAAGCCTTAAAACTACATGTTTCATGTTTGTGCAGCATTGTTTTTTGGGGACTGCTGCGTAGCGTGCGTCTTGGTGGCATCTTACAGGCGAGAGGCAACAAAGACGCTTCGAACGAAAGACAAACTCATCTTAAGCAATCTCAAGGTTGCCAAACAAGCGGAGGAGCTCGAGAAGTCGTCGCGGCACGCCGCAGCAGAAGCCATCAAGTTGAGGCACCTCTCCTCGTCAGAGAACCAGGCCATCAACACAGTTGCATCCAAGTCAGACTTTCTGTAAGTGTGCCGACTTAATTATTTTTGTTTTTCTACGTACTTGCATTTTTTCTTGTTTGTTTTACTTGATGTGGGTTTTTACCGCTAGTTAGAGAGAATGAAATCGTCTGTCTGTGCACAAGATGGTTGAATCAACGGTATTCTTCAGGCCACAGGAGAACTCCTTGATTATCTCAGAGAACTTGCTTTGAATACAACTTTCTTAACAGGAGTCAACGGTGGCCATTGTACCTAAAGCAACATAATGTATGATGCTAGTAACTGTCAGAGGTCCTTTAAGATGCTTTCTTGGCTGTGCAATCAGAATTCTGCTCCGCCCAATAAGGATAATGCATCATTTTACTTGCGCACACATAGAGCCAATGTACGCAATGTACTAGTTGTACTGTCGCTTCAAATGTGAGTTGGAACATGCTGCCCTTGGTCAAAGTGCCACCAACTCTGGGTATCAACTTCAGTGATGTAGACATCGTTTAACTGCCGCTATTTGCAAAACAGATTTGACTTTTGCCAGTGTTGTAGTGTAGGCTTGGGGGCCCTTAAGCCTTGTCCACTATGTTGCAACTGATATTGAGCACCGCTGTACATGCAGAGTTAAAGCTTTCTGGTATGGCCCTGACATTTCAGGGTGAAAATAAAACTTTCTTTGCTGCTCCTGACATACTTTTTTTGCACAGAAGTAATTTAATTTCTCTTGTGGCTGCATAAGAATTTTTCGGTTTGTCTCATTTCAGGGGAAAAGCGCTGTGCACTCCCAGCGCTGGCTCTCGTAACTTCCTTCGCCATGTGGTGCACGAGACAAACTCGACATCCGGTGATTTTTTTTCCTTGCCACATTTAGTATTGCATGTCACCATAGCCTATAGTATTTTCGAGTTTACTATGCGAGCACTTTGAAAATAAACATTCGGAAATTTTTTGTACCATGTTTATTACATTGATACGCAACTCCTGCATTCCCGTGTGTTTAGCTCTCTATCTTGTTTATTAACAGTTTTTGCGTGCCACACTTTCAGTACTGTAAGTGGTGTAAGTATAGTGGTAATGTAGAAGCGTGTAGGACATATTTAGTACTTCGTCTCTGAACTGAACCACTCCTATCATTTGTCTAACGTGCAGCAGCGTCCTCAAAAAAGGAGATGGTATCTATCACTGCAAAGGACCTTCTCAAGATGCACAATGGCACCATGAAGTCACTTGTAGGTGCATCTCGTGACTCAAAGAGGACTGCTTCAACGTTGCAAGCTAAGGGTTTGAGTGCTAGCAGCCCAATTGGCTCTGTTTCAATGCCATTGCCGAGGCTAACTGCATTGACTCCTTCTGAAATCGCTAAGGTGAGTTCCTGCGGACTTGAATTGTATTAGTCCATTGTCCCTTCAAATGCTGATTAAAGCTTAAACCACTGAAAATTAATGCTTAACATCTCTGTTGCCCTGTCAATGCGAGTTAAAACTATAAAATAAAAAACAGAGCCTATATATATATATATATATATATAAAAATTTTGTCAAAGCAGGGGAGATACTGGATAGAAATTTAAAATTACCTACCCTGAAATGTTAGCCTGGTTTATCGCTTTGCTCCATTTGTGAGTGAGGTGATGACAGTACATAGAATGATCACATATGCATACGAATAAGGTATACAGTCACAGATGCACGGAGGAGCTATTCATAAAGTAGGCCTCTTGCAGAGAGCTTGCCCATGCTGGTGGTAATCACTACAACTCATCCATCAATTTTTGTATGCATAAAGCATGTCTACCGTGTTCAAGAATTGCTGCTTTTTCCACTATTAGCAAGCTGTAAGAAAATGTTTCATTTGCAAAATGTTCACACAAGAATGTTCGTGATTGCCAAGAAAAAATATATTTGCCTCCTACTATACTGCATCAGATGTATGAAACAAATATTTGCCATACCTCATGTCTATACTTTACAAAAAGAAAAATTCTTAGAACTGTAGTATTCAATATGCGAATTTCTTTTACGTCACCAAATGGTATATTCAGGAATTTGGGGGCTTGACTCGCACTGTGCATTTAAATTAATTATTGTAACAGTATTGACACTAGATGCAGTACCTTGAACCAGAACTTGGCTTTCTTTCGTTGTCTTTTCAGCTGAGAGCAGCAAAGAAACTGAGTGCTCCTCTTGTGCGACAGGACCCTAATGCGGTGAAGAAGGACACCACATCCTCCGAAGTGCAAGCTAAGATACAAAGGAAGCTTGAAGAACCCGCCACATCGAGTAAGTATGGCTTTCGTTTTGCAGACAGAATGAGATCAATCATGATTTCTACTACAACATGGCAATCATTAATTTGTAGCAGGAACTTTAGGTTACTGTTACAGTCAAGCCATGCCTTGCTCCGTGTTTTTGTGCGTAATTCACATCCCGTGAAGTGGTTGTTGCTGTTGTCGAGCGAGTTGCAATAATGATGGTATTTCTAGTTTAGTAGCCTTTCATTATGCAGGAATGTGATCGCCCTATTTCATAATGATCAAATTGGTGCTTGTTCTTCCATTAATAAATGTGTATCAGTTGCTCCAGAAGGCAGTTTGTTGGTAAGTCATTGGGGATAGCAGTCGACATTTCGCTGGATGCCAAGCAGTGATGACAGTCTGTCAGCACTGGGCCAAGCCAGTCACCTTAATGTCTAGCATAGCTTTATGGGCAGCTCACCTGATAGCACATCTGTTCCAACACCTTTTCAGGCAAGGACGCCCGAGGTGATGAGTCAGTAGAAATGCCAGCAGCCAAAAGAAGCCGTCTGGGGCCAGCATTGACGAAAGAAGAAATGGAGAAGCTACTTCGTCAGAAGTCATCTCACGCTCACCAAGTGGATGACGTAAGACTATCTCTTGCCGGTGCCTATTGAAGGGTGTCTAATTTCAATAAGTAGCACTTAGCATTAAAATTTACAGCTACTTTGTGGGATTTGTGCTGATTTGAACGAGACATGGGACGTAGGCTTGGACAATTCTTATGGTTTCATTCTGTCTGGAGCTTTTCAGATCATAGTGAGTTTTACGCAGAAGGCAGTTACTGTTTCCTCCTGTAGCTTCTTGTTGAATGGAAGCATCACGCAGTAGCATCAGCTGAAAATTTTGCTAGTCATGCACATGCATATATTCATGGTAAAAGGACTGTATAACAATTTGACGTCTCATTGGCAAATTTCTTACGAAAGCGGTCACGGGGACATTGGAATGGGACAAAATGTTCCCATGTACAAGAAGTTGTCAAACTTTCCAGGCATGGGCAGTGCTGTTCTTTTGGGCACAGCACAGTTTCATTGCTATATGCAACCCTCTTACGACTGACACTATAAGGCTCTCCTGTGACTGTTAGGAAATCCACTGTGTTGTTCACCTAAACGTAACGTTTGCCATGATATGTTTTCAGATTGAGCAGGAACAAGAGGAGCAGTACTTCAGTGTACTCGAGAAGAAGGAGCAGCTTGAAGAGAAGATGCTGTCTGTCACAGAAATACAGTGCGATGTGGTGTCCTGCAGAAAGGTGCGTCAATGTAAACTTCTCCGATCCCTTCATTTTAAGCTACGAATAACTAATGTTATAAGGATCTCCGTAATGCTGTTTTTTTGTAGCAGTTGGTGATCAAACACTACGCTTTGGTGTTGGCCACGGGCTTGTAATTCCGTTGTCGTTCTCACTACATTTGTCATGCCATCATTGGTAAGCTTGTTGTCTGCCACATATGTAGGCTTGTGCGAATAGTTAGGTTCGAAGTGAATTCGAACCGAATAGTGATTTTATACTATGTGTCACATATCAAAGAAAAATAGGCATTTTTGTCATGAATTAACTAACTTGCAGAATATTTCTTAAAGTTGAAACAAGGCCTGTGCAAATGCTTTTTTTTTTTTGCATCAAAAAAAGCGAAAATAGCTTTGAATAGTAGCACGATCTGGCTTTCAGTAGAAAGCAAGTGACAGCCTGTAAAGTATATTACTTTTTAAAATTTGCTATACTTGGAGAGCATATAAGTTGGTATACCAAGCTCCTAACCTTAAAAAATAATTCTATGTAAGGGTAATATCCTCAGTTAACTTTGAAGTAAAGCTTTATGGCAATGCAGGTTTCCCCTTGGTACGTGTTTTCACGGCTTAGCAGTACTGCACTGCAGTGAAACCACCTTTATAGGGTGTCACAAACTGATTAATATGCCTCTATCCGTTCGTTTCGAATAATTCGAAATTTTCAATGAATTCGATTCGAAGGGAATTCGAATACTGCCGTATTCGTTCAAATATTTCAAAGCATTCGAATATTCGCACAAGCCTACACATATCTCATTGTTCTATAATTAGTGTGTCATAATTTCCTTCTTTGACTGGGCTGCTTCATCCCTGCAATCGTTTGCATTGTTATGCTTTAATTTTCACACTGGTCTTCTCCTAGTCAGGCCTTTAATCAGAAATGAGCATTAGTAAAATGTAGATGCATTCCTTCTTCTTGCAAGAAATAAGTGACAACAATTGTTAAGAAACTGCGTCCGTTTCATCAAGTGTAAACTATCCAGGTCTCTTTTATACCTCAGACTGCTCATCGATATGAGATAAAAAAAAGCAGCTCTATGACCAAGTGCATTAACCTACTGGTATGCAAGCCACTTTTATTGGTGATCTTTACAACAGCAAATTTATACTGGCATATTATTTGTAGTACCGTACTTGTCACTAAATTTCTTTGCATATCAGTACAATCTTCATTCACATTATAATGCAACGTGTGCTTGTGTCTAGCATCGTCTCTCATTTCCATTCAGTAAAAGTGAAGGCTTCGTTTTTTATAGAGAGATAAGATATGAGAATGGCCGGAATGTGGAATATCTTTGCAATCTAGAACATCTTTGTAAAGTAGTCACTAATTCAAGCGTGATAATCAAGCCACGTGGTGGTGAATACATTTTATGCCGTCAGTTGGCGTTGGGAACACTGAGCTAATGTGTTTAGGGTTATGATAACATAAAAGGTTTTATTATGAATCCTAATGGCATCTGGCCCTCCAGCACTGATGCAAAAAGCGCCAAGAGAAATTTGTCAGAAAGAGTTATGGAACAAAGTGCTAGAAGGCTTAATGGCTTTTGAAGTGCGAGATATGCCTATTAGTATTCAGTTTTAATCACTACAGCATTCCTGCAATGTACATACAGACGCTTTTCTCTTTGGCATCTAGATGTGCATTATTGCGAGACACAGATCTGTTATTCCCGGTTAGCACATAGTTGAGAGGGGCTTCCGGCAGGTATCGAACAGTTTCCCAAAAGCCTCTATGGAGCATTAAAATGCCGGAGAACTGTACTAGCAAGACTTGAGGGCTATTTCAAATATGGCAGTGGTGATTTGACTGCTTAATGAGCGGAGTAAAAAAAGTGTGAATTTGTTTTTTAGGAATTGCCCAATTTTTCGAACGACCTTGCAGTCCTTAGGGAGTCTGAAAAACTATATGCTGAGGCTGTGCATACAATTGCTTTTCTCTTTGTCATCATGCAGTGCAACTACACCGCTCAGCAGGCGTCCGACTTGTGCAAGAAGGAAAACCACGTCCTGAAGCACCACAAGGCCATGAAGCGTTTCTTCCGCTGCAAGGACTGCAGTCATCGCACAGTCACCTTTGCCAGGGTTCCAGGCCACAGCTGCAGGTAAGCACTCTCGTGCTCAAATCATCTACGATAACTTCATGCAGCTGTGGGACGTTTTCATGAGGACAAAGACTTTAAAGTGATCGATCGTTATTAAAACAAGAAATGGCACTTGGGAGTGAACATGTCTGCATCAAAGCAGTATGAATAAGTCATGCTGTGGAAGCGCTGGTCGCGGTGGTACCTTTTTCAGGACTTTAGTTGCTGCAGCTTTTTGTGCGGTTCATGGAAAGAGCAAATGGCACTCGCTGTCAACAGTCCATGCAAAGACAAACATTTTTTCAGCAAATTGATTGTGCTGTGAGTGCTATTTGCACGTTCCTACTGGTAAAATGTGAAATTCTACATTTCCAATGGCTGTCTTGAGTGAATAAAAGTTGCGTACAACAATATTGCCCATTCTGATAGTATAATTGCAGATAGCGCTTACGTTTATAGCTGCCCACATTTTTAGTAAACACAGAAGCGTCCTGCCAACCCTGATTATGTGGCTTCTTTGCGGTTTTCGGGTGAATTTTGTCAAGAGGTACATATGTGTAATGTAATTGCTTTGTAATTGCCAAAGAAATACAAATCCTCTTTTCAAAACATCTGTTCCACTGATGTTTTGTGGTCAATAATTTCTGATCAGTAGCATAAAAGTTTTTTCGCTAGTATTCAGATTTATCCGGTGCTGCTCAAGATGTATTTCATCAACAAGATGTTGGAACATAATTACTACGATCTTATTTCGTGTAAAGTTTGGACGTATAGAATTTTAGCAAAAACTGCGTGTGCATTAAGTATACATACTACCCCAGCCTATATTGAGAGCACAGTGTTTATGAGTATGTTACCATCACATATTTTTGGCTTTCTTCCAGAAAATGCAATGGCTCCAATTATGAACGAACATCCATGGGAAAGGTATGGTGCCATGTTTTTCTCTTTATTCAGTGGAGTGCCTTTGCTCAAAAATTGTAATGCTCAATTAGCATGAATTGTGTGATCGTATAGAGTTCGCACGTGGTCTTTCAATGTATTCGAAAACATTGCGTGCTCACTGAAGTTTTCCTGTTAAGTGCTGCAGCATTACAAAAAGACTTACACTGTGTTTAACGCATAACACAGTTTTTGTTGGTACTGGTTATAGTTATGCAATGCGATGTTGTGCACTGTTTTCTCTCTGGCACCTTTGTTTGGTACAACCTTTAATTTTTTGTTCTCTACGCAAGCTTGACACGTTGCTGGTAAATTATGATAGGTATTTAGTTCTGTACAACTGACTTGTTTTTTTTTTTTTTCTTTTCTTTTCCAGCCAAAGCCTGGCCCCATGCTCGACAGCGAAAAATTATTGATTCGAGGGGAGGAGATCAAGTTCCTGAACAAGTGATCACGTTGACATTTCCTATTATAAGTTCTTTTGCCATCCACACGGTAGTTTTGTTCACGCCATCACGTGCCATCTTGTTTCCGCGGCCATTGTATCACGTCCTTTACAACGTCTGTTGTACAATGTCTTGTACATCTTGTTTTCGCGGCCATTGTATCATGTCCTTCACAACGTCTATCGTAGAATGTCTTCGAGAATGATCGTGCACTGTTGTATGTTATACTGCTCATCATGAAATCTTGTGTGCTACTTCATGCATTAATGACAGGCTGCAGATCATAATCGTGTTGACTGATGGAATAGCTCATATAAATTTTAGGTTGTATGACTTCTTCGCAAGTTTTACCAAGTCGTTTTACCCATTTGCCTTGTACAGCTTGTACAACATAATAGAATTAATAAACATTGTATATACATAAACATTATGTGCAATTACTCTCTGTGTATATGGGCATTATGTCATTCATTATTAACAAATTAACAGATGACATAAGCCTTCACTCAACATTGTGTACTGTATATGTTCATCTAATAACTGTGTTTTTTGATCAAGTTCACAAGCTCAAATGAGTTGAACGTGGCTCATGTGAAAGAAAGTAGGTTTGCATTTCTTTTGAAGAATAGACCTCTAGCTCGCATTGTGACCTCGGAAAACTTTTCTTTATTTTATTCTATTTGCTGCAGCATTTGTGTCGCAGGTACGTAACAGCCAAGTGATACAGTCGAAGTCTGCTTTTAATTTAAGTAGGCCGTTACACACAAGATGAAGCAGTCCCATCATGCTGATACTGACAATGTGTTGCACAAGTGGTTGCACACTAAAGAAAATTAGCAACATTTTAAGCACAAAGTGTGAATGCAACGTTTCGGTTTTAAATGCTCACGTTCATTTCTTGCTACATTTATCTACCTTCAGGCTATGTTTGTAATGCTCACTTACACTTCCCGTACTTTTGAGATGATTGAAGACGGGCTACTGTGAATGAAAAGAAACGTACGACCATGAGAAATGCCTCATCACGAATACATGTATTCACTGTTTTCGAAATAGTGAATTAAACTGATAAAATGGTGGGAGAGGAGAGAGTGGGGCACTTGCGGAGATTTTACGCTATACAGGGTGTTTCTTGTAAGAGGCCAAAGGGTTGAAAAATAGACAAGGTGACTAAACGAAATCAAGCGTATGGTTTAGTCATGTGGTGTACTTTGAGATACTTGTATAGTGCGCCAGGTTACTTCACTAACTGAACTCAACTGGGTGAAATTTATTATTAATCACTTGAGGGCCAAGTGCGATTCGTTACATTGTAGAGAGCATAGAAAATGACCGTCCCAATTTTCTTGCGCCAGCGCACGTGATCGTAACCACATTATTTATTCACTTATTTTACCCTCAGTGTTTTCACATTACAGAGGGGAGGGGCATGTTACATATCAGAAGTGGGAAACAACACTTGAGAAATAATTAAGCGAAACTCTAGTATACTAAAATATATTATGTATCAACCACGTCCTCAAAAACAAGGTAGCAGTAGCGATAATGCAGGTAGTGCATTTTCGAACCAGTCGCTCATCCAATTTTAATCGATGTCGCCGTGTTGGTGCAGCAGTTACAATGCTCGGCTGCTGACCTGAAGGTCGCGGGTTCGATTCCGGCCTAGGCAGTTGATAGAGGCCCGCGTACTGAACTATGTCGGTGCACCTTTAAAGAACGTCGGGCGGCCGAAATTTCCGGAGCCCTTCACGACGGCATTCCTCGTAATCGTACCGTACGTGGTTTTAGGACGTAAAGCGCCACATATTATTGTTCATGTGGATCGGCGCTAACTGGCCTAACATTTATTACTTCAACCCGAGAATGCTCAAGGTGTACCGCGAAGATAGGAGAGAGATAGCAGAAAACAAATATTATTTTGAAACTCCCCTGTCCGGGCCTAGGCCTCCCATGAGTGGACGTCACGTCAAGGGCTTGCCTCGACGCCGCCTCACGGGCGTGCTGGGTCGCCCAGGTTTGGTCGTGAAGAGCGGGGCTCCGCAGAGCCTCATGGAGCTTCGACGAAAGGGTCGTGGGGGCTGTTACAAAGCAGTAACGAAGTCCTTGGGCCGGCTGCCCCCGAGCGTACCTTCCCGTCATATCGGACATTCTTTTGTGAGATGCGGGTTGTCACCAGCACCGACTGTATTTGTCTCGGCTGTGCGCTTCGCCTGCGGGGCAGTGGCTACGGGCGGGCCCCTCTGGAATGTGCGGAAGGCCGGCTATGTGCTACAGGAGCGACTGCCATGAATTTCTCCTGCATAATCGCTTCCTAGTCCCCGCGCGTGTGCCACGTGCATCTGCCACGTGTGTGAAGGGATACTTGTGCTGTGCTCTCTATGAGTGGTTGGTTCCCCGACGTGTCATTCCACCCCTATCTTCGGAACTGCACGGCGAGGCAGCGGAAGCAGCCCGCCAGAAGGAAACAGGAGAGTTTCGCGAGAAGAGTCGTCGTTCGGACGTTACTGTCCAACATGTTGCAAATAAACGTCTTGTTAAGTTTTCCTCTACGCCTGTCCCTCTGCCTCAGCTCTCTGGAGTTCTGAACGTCCCCGTGGCCTGCGGAATGACGACCACCACCCAGCTCCATGCTACCTACTGGGTCCGCTGCGGCCACCGACGCGGCTCGTAACAGGGAGGCACGGCCACCTAAACCTGCCGGCTTCCTATAATCAAGTTTATTCCTTCTCCTCCCCTGTCCGTACGTGTTCATCCGCATTGTTCTAGTACTAATTGTCTTCGGGCAGTCAGAGCTACGTGATCAGGTCTAGCTGTGCTTACAATAAGCTCGGTCACGACTCGTACCCGAGACCGATAGGCCACGTGATAAGACCCCTGACGCGATAGCGCTCCGTTCAAAGTGCGGGAAGCCTTCCGTCCGATGTTGCGCGATCCGTTTGCAAGCAAGATTGCCCAGTCTAACCATTCTAGTTTCGCACAAGACATGAAGGAAACGTAAATGACATTTTGACACACTTATTGTTTAGAGCCGTACGCGCGAAGTGAAAAAAGAAAATAGCATTGGTTCGCAGAGTGGTCGGTGGTCCCATTCCTTTCGAACCGTATATTTCGCACTACTCAAAACGTGTGTGGAGGCGAGTTTTGGCTGAAAGGGACACTAAAGTGAGGCAATAAATTAACTTAAACTGATAATTATACTAGGAAAACTACAGTGTAGTTAACTTCAACATCTATAGTTTAATAACAAATAAGAAAAATCTATGTCAAGAGTTTCAGTTTTAAGTTTCCTGCCTGAATCTTCGATGGGGGACGCTTCTTTTTTTCGCATTTCGGTGACATTGCCTGAACGAAATTTCCTAAAACGTCGTACTTCATTTTCACAGATTCGCAACTACGTAGAACATAGTGGACGCCATCAAAATGTGTGACGTCATGATGACTGGTGCGGAAACATCAAAGGCGGGGGGAGGGGGCGTTACCCCCATTTTCTTTTCTTTTTGTACATATTCTCGATTACGAACCGTCTCCTCGTAGCAGGCGTGGTGTTTTCGTATTCACGAAGGGTAATTTACCAATAGAAGTTTTCAAGTTAACTTTTTAAATTCCGCTATAATGAAGACTACATCAAAATTTTCGCCACAACGAACAACTTTCAATTCCCCGTCAGCCACCCTTAGAAAACAATGTCAAGAATGTCTCGTGACAGCGAATACTTTTCCTGGGTATATCCGCTTTAACGAAGTTTTTGCGAGTGCTACCCCGTAAGAGAAAAGAACTTGCCTAGTATAGCCGCGAAATTCCGCTACCAAATCGGCCCTTTCTCGACGGTGGCTCGTGACATCCTGAGTGCACGGCCGCATCACAACAACCGTGCCTTCATCGGAGACAAGCTTTTTGCCACCAAAACAGCAGTGGGCCAAAACAAAAAGAAGTATCGGTTAAGAAGAAGGTGAAGGAAGCTGAGACCGATATGTGGAGAATTGGCATGATTAAGAAGTCCGCGCTAGAGATCTATCGAACTTTTAAGCAGGAAATCGCCAAGGAAAGGCTCTATGATAATACTCGGGGTAGGTCTCTACTGTTTGAGTCCAGGACGGGAGTACTGCGAACCAAGACATATCGGGCCAAATACGAAGGGGTGGACACGGTATGCAGTGCGTGTGGAGCAGTGGCGTAACTAGGGGGGGGCAAGGGGGTACAAGTGCCCCGGGCGCCACTAGGGAGGGGGCGCCAAGCCGAGTCCTCGGGTTGGCGCCCCCTGGAAAGGTTGTCAATGTTTTTTTCCGTAAAACCGCCTGGAAGGGGGGAGGGGCGAGGTTGTAATGTACGACTGGAAGTGGGGATGGTGGTGAAGGAAAGGGTTGCCGCAATGGCTTTTGCATCGGGAAAAGGATCCTCTATTTTCATTTTGCTGCGCTACCTCCGTGCCTTCCCATGACCCTCGGCTAAGCTTTGTTTTGTGCTCCGCAGCACTGGGTTAGATGAGTTTCAGCGAACCCCACCAGCCTCCCAAACCACTTACTGAAAGCTTCCCTGAAACCAACCACGTACGTAAACAAAATAAAATAAAAAAGTTCGAATGCACCTTTTTTGAGTAAGAACAGAAAACTCCAACTTGGTGGCGCTAGCCACCGCTCGATCTAAAGGGTACAGCCATATCCATCCATCCATCCGCACATCCCGCAGCTCGCCCATCCACCGTGACGCTGCTGGTGGGCTTGCTGCACGTGCGGGCCGCGATCGACTTCAAGAACCCCCGTCGTACGTTTCTGACTTCGCGACGAAATTACCGATCGTCATCACTAGCCGTGCGATCGTGAATAACAACCACGCGTCGCGGGGGCGCACCTAGTCCCTGCAGCGTCACCGTATTCTGCCGCAGCCGCTGCGGAGTGGCTATTAAAAAGAGAAAAGAAGAGAAAAGCGAGCCCCGTTATTGTCTGCTTCAATGAGCGACACCGCCACAGTAGCTCACGAGGGATGGGGGTGAGGAGGGATAAAAAGGATAGGAGTAAAGATGTGGGAAAGCCGAAAAAGGAGAAGAGAAGAAGAGACGTGTGGTGGTAAGCCACAGCGAGCGAGGACAAACCGAGGGGATAGAAGAGATAGGAAAGATGGAGCACGGTCACTGGAGTCCGAGGACGGGGCGCACCTGCGAGAGCTCCTTTCGGCGTCGGTGGATGGCGTAGAACAAGTCCAGTAAGTCAGAGCTGCACTGTCGTCGGAGGTGGAAGGTCGTCGGCGGCAGGAGATGACGTAGGGCGAGCCCAGTCGGCCAGAGCGACCTTGCCGAGCGCGGTCTTGCCGAACGCGATCGTGGGAGACCTCGAAGGTAGGCGCGCAGTCAACGCGCACCGATTCAATCCAATATGTCTTGCCGTCGCGATTAAAACGGAACTGTTGTTTGCCGCAACCGCTGCGCAGAAA